GGAAATTCTGTTTTAAATGTAATTTCTAGAGTCTCAGAAGGAGAGGAAAACGCAAGGTCTCTCTCATCACTTCCTGGTCCCAATGAACTGGAAGATGAGATTTATTCTAGATTGTCAATTTCTGAGCTGTGAGAAACAACACTCCATTATGCGCCCGAGCCGCTTTAATTCTGCTTTATCTGGACACCTGCTGCTGCTGAGCAGCTTGTACAGACAGGTGGCAGCAGTGCAACTCACGTGAACCGGTTGAGTGATATCAGCTGTTTTCCGTCAGCAGACCTATTCACACACATTTAACAAGCTGTGGGGCCGCTGTGGCTCTCCGCACAGCAGCTCATTTAAATGTTTTTGGAGTGTCGCACGGGATCTGTGAATGTGACTCAACACTGACCTTGAGCTGCAGAATCATCAGGGTTTTTGATTCACACGAGAGAACGCTCAATGTCAATTATAATTATCGTGGAGCCACGGGACGATCCACCGCTGGTGGACGTGTCTGCTCACAACCTGTGTTTGTAATGCCTTTTCACCTTCTTCTCTCCCTCTGATATCATGGTTTTCTGAACCAAGCTCAGGAGGAGGGACTGGCAGCTCCTCTGCCCCAAGTGTGTGAACGCATCATGGTTCCCAGGCCTACGACATTTGTTATCAGGGTGCTCGTGGAACCTGCCGTGGAGGGAGGACGCCCTCCTCCAGGCGGGAGGAACGATCAGGAATTAATCAGAATAGGCCAGCACCTGTGGTCTGGCCGCTGTGCGGATCTTTTTGAGAGGATGGATCTCTCTCAAGATGTAGTGCGTACGATTCAGGAGTCACGTGCTACAACCACCACAGCGCTGTCCACATCAAGTGGTCAGTTTTTCAACGCTGCTGTACAGAGAAAGGCGTAGAGGCCACTTCATGTCCACTGGACGACATGCTGTTTTTTCTGCAGCAGTCGAGGGACAGAAATCTGGTGTCCAGCACGACTATCGTATGCTGCAGCCGTGTTTTCTTCTTGTCTCAAAGTTGTCGGAGACAGAACAACCTTTAATCATTCTCTGACGGAGCATTTTGTCTCAGATTGATATAGCAGCTATGGGCCTGTTTGTGACATGAGAAACGCTCAGTGTCAATTATGCGTTTCTCTGAGCCCACGAGACGAACCACCGATGGGGTGGATGTGTTTGCCCACAGTCCATGGCCCAAAATGCTTCTGTACGCGTTTTTCTCCACCTCCTCTGATTTATGGTTCTTGAACCGAGCTCAGGAGGAGGGATTTACAGCTCTCCTGGTGGCCCCGAACGCGTGAGCGCACCATGGTTCCCAGCCCTGCAACGCCTGCTGTCAGGGTGCCCGTGGAAACTGCCGTAGAGGGAGGACGCTCTCCTCCAGGCAGGAGGAGCGACCAGGAGTTACCCAGAAATAGGACAGCACCTGTGGGTCTGGCCGTTGAACGAATCCACTTAGAGAGGATGGGTCGCCCACAGGATGTAATGCGCGCAATTCAGGTTTCACGTGTTGCATCTACCACAGTGATGTACACATCAAAGCGGACAGCTTTTCAGTGCTGATGTACAGAGAAGGGTGTAGAGGCCTCCTCATGTTCTTTAGGTGGCATGCTGTTCTTTCTGCAGCAGCTGATGGACAGAATTTGCATCCAGCATATTTAAAACGTACGCTGCAGCCATCTCTTCCTGACACGAAGGTTTCTGAGACAGAACAGGTTTTTAATCATCCGCTGATGAAGCATTTTCTAAAAGGTGTACAGAGATGCAGGCCTGTCTCACACCCACTTGTTTCAGTGGGATTTAATACTGGTCCTGCAGGTCCTGATCAAAGCTTCATTTGAGTCTTTGGATCAGGTTCCACTTAAATTCTTGTCTCTTTAAACAGCCCTGCGGTTGGCTTTAACATCTGCTAAGAGAATGAGTGTTTTTATCTGCCCTCTCTGTCGCTCCGTCATGTCTCAGAATTCAGGATGACGGCAGGTCAGCTGATTTTAGATCAACCCAGCTTTTATGCCTAAAACATCACGAGCTCTTTTTAATCAAGAGCGATATCGTTGGAGGGGTCGTTCCCCCCTTTTTCACACAGATCAGAAGAAGTAGCGTCTTTTAATCTCTTCTGTCCTGTGTGGGCGTTGACGTGTTACATAGCATGCACAGCTGCAATGCGTCAACATCTATTTGTGTATTAGAGATGCATCTGCAGGTCGCCCGTTATCCACCCAGCGCTTGTCACACTGGCTGTGTGAGGCCATTTCTGAAGCCTATAGAGCATCAGATTTAGAGCCTCCTGTCAACCTCAGAGCACACTCGACCAGGGGTATCGCATCTTCGACTGCTTTGCATAATGGTATGTCAATGCAGGACATTTTGCACTGTGGCTGCGTGGTCAACACCCTGCTCATTTATTCGCTTTTATCTAGGTGATGTGACGGCCCGTTCCATGACACATTCTGTCCTTAGTGTTTACAGAATGAATATTGTTGTTTCATGGAACTCCGTTTTACTCACATCTGTCTGCATGCATTACAGTGTGATATGTTGTTATCAGTCACAAGTTGTGACTGTTATTTTGGTTCTATTGTCATTAATCAGTTCACGACTATTGTTACCAATCAGGTCATTTGATTAATAATCAGCTCTCCTGTTATTATTAATCTGTTCATACGGTTCAGCCGTAAACCGGTTGGTTCATGGCTCTTTTCAGCTTTTTTCCCTCCCCGTTGAAGTTTTCCGGGGCGTTCATGCATTCAGAATGCATAGTTACACAACATGCGTCTGTGCATGGCTCACATAATTACGCAATGCGTAATTACGCACATGGGAGCTGAGTGATTAGACTTTTTTGGGCAAGCTTCTGCTTCATACGGTGTTCGAATGGACCCAGTGAGGCGAAGACAACATCCGCTTCGCCCTTAACCCACTAAGCGACAGCTTTTAAAGGGCGAAGCCTATACGAAATAGAACGTTGGTTACGTACTGTAACCCCAGATTCTATGAGTATAAGCGTAGCCCTTTAAGCGTCGGGCCTCACTGGCTCCTAAATGGCTGAAGAAAAAGCTATTTTTGGGAGCCGATTTCCCGCTCTTAACGTAATTTATACGGACCGGGTGGGGCCCACACAGCAGGTGGGCGTGGACTAAATTTGTATATATATATAATAAACTACTACTTACTACCTATACTACTATCCCTACTTCATGGTTTTTCACTCATCGCAGGGCTTCAGGGTACTGATCCCCCACAATAAATGAGGGACTACTGTGTATATAGTACTTCACTTGAATAGTCTACACGCACATACACACACACACACACACACAATGTCGTGCACTAACACTCGCCTCATGGTGAGACGTCGGCGGCAGACTGAACAAAGCTAATTAGCTTAAAACCTTTTTAAAGCACGGCCCTAAACATCAACCACTTGAACAAAACCACTCAACTTTTAGGTGAAAATACTCAAAAACTCAACATAAAATGTTTTATCCTGATGCATGCTCAATAATCCAGGTAGAAAAATCCAAAAAAGTCCAGACCAGATTGAACTTTTTTGGATAAAATGTTTTACAAATGTTTTAAACACAAAAATTCTGTAACTACCTGAAAGAGGATAGATAATAAGAGTAAAAGATACTCTGACATGATGCTTTCATTCAGGCAGCTGTATGAAGCATTGTCAGAGCTCCTCCTCCTTCAAGCTGCTCAGACACGACTAATCGATCACAGACGTTTATCAGAACAACTCAGCAAATCAATCACAGATAAATAACTCTTAACAGGAAAATCCTTACAAAAAAAGTTATTTTTAACCAGAAAACTATTTTTAACATTTTTACCAATGATTTTGTATTTTATGTCACAACTGTTTTCATTTACTTTTTATCTAAATTGAACCAACTATTCTTTGAAATAAATTTCATAGTATGGTATGTGCATGTACCGGACCACACAGCAAGGAAGAGTTCCTATGACGTTATCTCCTAAGTTATTGAACCATGATCACTAAAAGAGAAAATACTGAGAACCAGGGAGATTACAGATGCAGAGGGACAGAGGTGGGAGATTAAAACGTCAGATGATGATCCACAGGGGCGTCCTGGTCCTGTTTTGGAGGTGCTACAATATGACACTCTAAACTGCGCAACAATGTCACAAAAGTAGACTTGAAACAAGAAGATGCTGATCAGACGTCATATTTTCAGTTATAGAAACTGTTTAAATGTATTTTTTTTATATTCATCACGTGTTTCAAATCATGACTTTTTCTTTTAGAAACCTTCGATTTTAGTTGAGGGACTGTCCATAAAAAATCAAAACAATGACAGTTTTCAGGTTTTTCTCCTTATGATGCAGCTAAATCAGACAAAAGAAAGAAAAGGTTATTTTATTTTACCCAGATTAGGAAGACAGAAAAAAAAGAAAATATATGTATATTTTTGAACAACTCTTTAATCTAGATTTCTAAAACAAGAACCTGCATAAATCTGAAAATATTCCTTTTACTGGGATTAAAAGAGTTCATTACACCAAACTGGGTTTAGGACACGAGGTGCACAAAGAACACTGTCAGTTAAAATAAAGGTTTGAAAGAAATAATTAAGAAGGGAAAGGAAAAAACAGCAACACGTTTGTGAACCTGAGGAAACATGGATTGATTGATCATTTTTATTAATCAGCATTAACACCAAAAGAGATGAGTTTAAGATGCACTAAAGAGAAGCCGAGAAGAGGATGGCTGGATTAACCTAATAACCTGCGATGAATCACAAATCTGTGTTAAGTAATTAGCTTATTCCCGAACTGTTGTTTGGTCCTCATCCTTTTATATAAACATGGTGGTGGTGGGAGACTGAATCTTTGAAAGAAGGTTCAAGTCTACAAAAACGTAAACAGAAATATGTGCTTTTTGGGTTTATTAAATTTTAATTTAGATTAACATTCTATGTTATCCTGGTAAATTTGTCCACTTGAGTTAAAGTGAAATCCCCAAAAAGATTAAATTTTCTCCTAAGTTTTGTTTAAATTGTGTGAACGTGTCAACTGTTTCTTCTGATGCCCCACGTTGGTCTTCTCCGTCCTACATTCGTCATCAGCTATTGGTGTCAATCCTCCTGATCTTCATGGTAACAGATTTGATTGTGTGAGGGACTCCGCTGCGCCTCCAGGTGTCCCACAGGATGTAGGTCCTCCTGTCCCGGTTCTGCTCCATCTCAGGTGAAGCGTTGAGGTTTGCCAGGCCGCACTGGTTGAACCACCATCCTGTGTGGTTGTGCTGAAGGCTGCAGCTCTCCACCGTGCTGTTCCCCAGGGGGCAGAAAGGGTTGCAGCCGTCGTTGTCCACATCTGAGGTGCTGAACGGCGCCGTGTCCTGGTTCTGGTCCTGGTCGTAGCCGCGGAAAGCGTCACCTTCACACAGAGACAGCCACACAACCATAAGTGGCCCACACCAGGCAGTGCAAACACCTGGTTTCAACGTTTTCCTCTTCTAGGAAAGGAAAACTTAAGATTGTGAACCTTTTGTAAGTTGTTGAATCACCCAAGCCTCACCAGCACTGCCTGCGTATCTGCCCAGGTGTATTCTGAAGAACTGGGTTTCATCATCAAGGCGAAAGTCGTCATACGATGCATAGGAGGTGATGTCATCGTGGGAAACCAGGACAATGTGAAGCTGGAAGCGAGCATCTTTCTGGTTTACGATGTTAAACACCTTCTTCAGACCCAGCCAGTGTTCTCCTACAAGAATAGACTCGTAAAAAAATCCTGCTCCTCTTTCAAATGTTCTGTTCTGAGTTTTAAAATAACCATTGATTCTGCTTAAACAGAAGAAAGGCTTCATGTGCCACAATCTCCAACCTGCGAGGTGTCCAAAGCCTCCGACATAATCAGCCCAGGGTCGTCTGAAATCATTCAATCCGTCGGTCCTCCTCTGCATCACCGTCCAGCCACCCTCCATGTAGTCCATCTCACAGAACACCTGCAGGACACGGTTGTTTTCAGGAGCTGATAAACGTCGGTCAAACAGAACGACTGAAGGACTCACGCACCTCAAAGGAAGAGTCTGTATCCTCAGGATGGATAATATAGATCCCACTGGGGATCTTTGGGACGACCGACATGAGGCTGTTCTTGATGTCGCTGCAGTCTCTTCCTACAGAAAGAAAACACACAAACTGAAGCAGAGGTGTACAAGTTTGCATTCATATAAATAAATAAATAAATAAATAAATATACTATTTCAGTCTTTTATAATGGGCATTATTTAGTGACATATTAATCTTGTCCAACCATAGGGATGAGAAAGTTGGTTGTTTTGAAAGAACAGATAAAATGTCAGATCAGCTCTGTTTAAAAACTTTGTACCAACTCTAATTTCTTTATTTTTGTTTCTATGAAGACAGACTCATAGTCCTTTAAAGACATCTTTTTTGCAGCTCCTTCTCTGCTCAGTCCTTGGGGTTGCGGTAGCTCGGTGGTCAGTCTTGCAATCCTGAGGCTGCAGGTTCGAGCCCAGGCTGAGTCAGGATTGGCATCCATTTATGTGTGTGTGTGTGTGTGTGTGTGTGTGTGCGTGCGTGCGTGCGTGCGTGCGCGCGTGCGTGCGTGTGTGTGTTACCGTGGGATTGCACAGGTTTGATGGAGTACATCTCAGAGTTGCTCCTCTGGACCTCGGAGCTGAGTGTTTGCACTTTGCTCATCAGCTCTGTGACCTGAAAAAGTGTCGCCGTGGTTACAACCATCCGGTCAGTCACTTTACAAACTGTCTGAAGATGAACGGAAGAGTTTTTATAATACCATACCATACCAGTTTATTTACAATGCACTTAAAACAGCAACAAGGCCAACTAAAGTGCTGTACAGCAAAAACAAAAGAGGAAAGGACACAGGATAAAAACATAGATCCAAATGGAAAAAGATAATAACTAAATGGCTAACGTAGAATACAGACAGGTTAAAAACAAATTACACAGTGTCAAAAGCCAGGGAATAAAAGTGGATTTTTAAGCGAGACTTAAAAACAGTGAGAGTGGGAACCTGCCTGACATATTTGAGGGGCGGCTGTGGCTGAATGGTTAAAGCAGGCGTCCTCCAATGCGAGAGTTGGGGGTTCAAATCCACCAGCAGTCACATGTCGAAGTGTCCCTGGGCAAGAACCTCTCATAGCCTCTGATGTGTGTCCCATCGGTGTATGAATGTGATCTAAAGCTCTGATTAGTGTCATTAGAATGTTTAGTTTTGTTCAGATCTAGTAGAGTGCTGTATGAATGAGTAAATGAGGCACAGATTGTAGTGTAAAGCACTTTGAATATCTTGAAATAAGATAGAAAGGCGCTATATAAGTACAGTCCATTTACCATTTATATTCATAACTCATTCCACAGTCTTGGACCTGCAACAGAGAAGGCTCTGTCACCTCTGAGATGAAAACGAGCGTCTGGAACCAATAAAAGCATCTGGTCTGCTGACCTCAGAGAGCGCCGTGGAACATATGGCTGCAGCAGATCAGTGAGATAAGAGGGGGCATGATGTTCAGAGATTTAAAAACATTCAGTAGGATTTTGAACTGAATACGAAAGTGAACCGGGAGCCAGTAAAGGGTGTCCAGAACTGGAGTAATGTGCTCTCTTTTGCCTGTACCAGTTAAAAATCAGGCAGCAGCATTTTGGACCAGTTGTAATCGTGCGATGGAGATCTGACTGATTCCAAAAAAGAAGTGCATTGCAGTAATCAAGATTGGATGTTATGAAAGCATTATTACAGTCTCAAGGTTATTTTTGGACAGTATGGGCTTCAATTTAGACAGTCGCCACAAATGAAACAGGATCATCAACAGGATTTAACAATCATTTTTACACGACTGTTAAGTTTCATGGAAGGGTCCATTTTCACACTCCCCCCCCACCCCCCACCCACCCCAGGAGTGTGTGTGTGTGTGTGTGTGTGTGTGGGGGGGGGGGGTTGTTAAAAAGGTGTAAACAGACGGGTCCAGTCCTGCGCCGAGCTGGCCGCTTGGTTTGTTTCCTTGTTTGTTGACTCGGTTGAACTTTTACTTTTTTCTCGACAGATTTCTGCTTCGTGACTAAACTTTTCAGCGACATGGACGCACACCGCGGCGGCGCATCCCCGGCGGCGCGCCCCCGGCGGGGCAGCAGGTCGTGCACGTGCGCGGGGACTCAAAGACGGAGCTGGAGGCCCTCTTCAGCGCCCTGATGAACCCGAGCAAGGCGGCCCGGCAGCCGCAGTCTCTGCCCATGAGAAAGAGGAAGCTGCCGGACTCCTTCTTCAAGCCGCCGGAGCCCCGGGGCCACTCCAGACAAGTACTGCATCTGTGTACTCTCTGTGTACTTTCTGTGTACTTGTACAGTAGGATGTGTGCTCACATCCGGTCACCTACAGCTGCACACCACCCTTCTGCTATGACTGGTGTCTCTGGTGCATTTGACCCAAACATGACAAGAAAGCAGGGGCACCTCTAGAACGTTTTTAAAGGGGGGCCAGTCGGGGGGCCACTGTTAAAAGTATTTTAAAAATATAGGGAGATTTTTCAGTTTTTAATTCAAAATTTTGAGTATGTATGCAGTGTTTCCCCTACCATTATACAAGTGGGGGTGCCCCACCCCGTCAACAGAAATGAGCACCCTGCCTACCAAACCAAACTCTCCCACCCCACCCGGCACACTGACATAGCACTAAGCTAGCAGCACAAAATACAGGCTCTTTAGCTGAAAAGCTAAAGGCAACGCTCACGTTGTCTCTCCTCTCAATCTGAACACCCCCCCCCCCCCAAACAGTGCGCAACTCAAACATGTCGCACTAAGCTAGCAGCGCGCAATACATGTGCTCTAGCTTAAAAGCTAAAGGCGCCTCTTCCCTCATGCTGAAAGCCCACCCCGCTCAAAAACTGTTGGTACAAGCTGCACTCAGACATGTCTCCACCCCCCACCCCACCCCCTCAACAAAAATCATGGATGAGATGAGCACCCCGCCATGGCAAGTTAACTAGAGGAAACACTGGTATATGTGTATCGACTAAGATCAAATATATGCATCACTCATGAGCACATGTCTATAAATAATTTGTAACAAATGAGTCAAATCAGCAGAGTCTTGGCTTGTTGCCAACAATTATTAGTTTGTTTACATTTGAACATGGAGGAAACACTTCAGCTGACAGGTTCTGTGTCCGTAAAATAATCCTCAGATGTGAACAGAGTCGGGGGGAGAACGATGGAGTCAGAGACGACAGGTCCAGAGAAAATTTAAAATTCTTCTCTTCTGAAAAGAAACCGACTAGAAGCTGCGAGGACGAGTCGACAGATGTTATTTTGGAGGAAATCGAGTGGTAGAGAGCGTTAAAGCAAAAAAAATAATCATCTTCCTCTGATCTGTGAGAGGTTCTGAGCTCGGACAATTTCCACACCTGTTCGTAAATGATCACTGAATTTAGTTGTAAAGAAATACAAGGAATATCCTGATGCATGCTCAATAATCCAGGTAGAAAAACCTGGTCCAAGGTACCTGGATTATTGAGCATGCATCAGGATATTTTGAACCACTTTGGACAGGATTGCCTCAAACTAGTTAGAGAGTTTGAGAAAACAGCAAGGAAGAGGGCAGACTACAGGAACCATTTGCGATTCAACCTCAGATGTCGACAAAGTGGCATCATTCCCAAGAGCCTGGAACTAAAATCTTCGGTCAGCGGGCACCGGGCAAGCAAGATCCTTCAGAAGGCACAGACCCAGCTACTGAATGAACGGGTGAGACAGACCAATTTTACTATTGAGGCCTTGAAGGCCAAAGAAGAGCACATTAAACAAAAACTAACTACATGCCTAGATCAGACCACACTTCAGCAAGTGATGGACTGTACAGATTGGGCACGCTTAGCACAGCATGTCAAGTCCAAGACTCGACAACAAAACAAGTTTAACGTACTAATAGCTCATCAACACCATCACTATTCCAATAACAACACATTCAGTGTAGGACAACACTCCAGTAGTCAATTACATGCCAGGGAGACAGAAAAGTGGGTGAAGAATTTATCTGACAGACAGCTCACCCAGCCGGAGACAGAGATTCTTGCCAGGGGACTGAACTTTGCGGTTGCACCAAGTAGAATTCCTCTGGTGGAGATGATCACAGCTACTGAGTCAGCCATCCGCAACAACAAAATTAAAGAGGCTGAAGCAGAACAACTCAGAATCAAAGTTTCAGCCTGCCTCAGCAATGCCAAACCACCACCTTCCAACATCAGTAGAGAGGAGAGGGATGCACTCACCACTCTTAGCAAGGACAAAAACATCATCATTCTCCCAGCAGACAAAGGAAGGTGCACAGTGATTTTGAACCAGAAAGACTATCATGAGAAAGTTATGACACTCCTTAGTGACTTAAACACTTGTGAACCTCTGAAAAGAGATCCAGGAAGTGGTTACAAGAAGAAATTGATAGATTGCCTGAAAAATTTGGAGCAGGACAAGGCTACTGACCGTTTTCTGTACCACAGACTGTACCCAGGGGAGGCCACACCTAGTCTGTATGGTTTACCTAAAATCCACAAACAAGGTGTACCTTTAAGACCAATTGTTAGCATGATTAACTCTGTCACTTACAATGTTTCCAAATATCTGGCGTCTGTACTCATCCCTTTAGTTGGCAGCTCAGAACACCACATACAGAACACCATGGACTTTGTGGACAAGGTGAGGGATGTCATCATGGAGACTGATGAAACAATGGTCTCTTTTGATGTCACATCACTCTTTACGTGCATTCCTGTTGATGATGCAGTAGAGGTGGTCAGTTTAAGATTAAAATCAGACACCACTCTGAGCAGCAGGACCACACTTTCTACAGAACAACTGTGTCAACTCTTGAAACTGTGCCTGCAGTCAACCTACTTCACATATGGGGAGCAATATTATAGGCAGAAACATGGGTGTGCTATGGGGTCTCCAGTTTCTCCTATTGTTGCCAACCTGTACATGGAGGAGGTAGAAAAGAGAGCCTTGACGTCCTTTTCAGGGACACCACCAAGTCATTGGTTCAGGTATGTTGACGACACCTGGGTTAAAATTAAATCTCAGGAAGTCCAACATTTTACTGACCACATCAACTCTGTGGATAAATACATCACGTTCACACGAGAAGATGAAAAAAATGGCAAGTTGGCTTTCTTGGACTGTGAGGTCTCAATCTCTGATAGAGGACATTTGCAAACTGAGGTGTACCGCAAACCCACCCACACAGACCAGTATTTGCAGTTTGACTCCCATCACCCTTTGGAGCACAAGTTAGGAGTCATCAGGACTCTGTATCACAGAGCAGACAGCGTCCCCACTAGCTCAGGAGCCAGGCAGAAGGAGAAATCTCACACAAGACAGGCTCTAGAGCAATGTGGATATCCTAACTGGGCCTTCCTGAAAGCAGAGAAGAAACCCAAACAGGACTCCAGTCAGCCAACAGGTGAAAAGGAGGAACCCAGACCCAGACCAGTGGTCATTCCATATGTTGAGGGAGTATCAGAGAAACTGAGATGTTTACTTTCTAAACATAACGTCCCAGTGGCTTTTAAACCCCAAAATACATTACGGCAAAGACTGGTTCATCCCAAAGATCCAGTCCCCCGGCACAAACAGAGTAATGTTGTGTATGCTGTTCAGTGTCAGGAGGGCTGTGATCAGTCTTACATCGGGGAAACTAAACAGCCACTGGCCAAAAGGATGGCCCAGCACAGAAGATCAACATCATCAGGCCAGGACTCTGCGGTCTACACTCATCTCCAGGCCAGCGGTCACTCTTTCAGGGATGAAGATGTTCACATCCTGGACAGAGAGGAACGAAGGTTTGAGAGAGGAGTAAAGGAGGCCATCTTTGTGAAAATAAATCGTCCATCATTAAACAGGGGTGGAGGCCTCCGGGTTCAACTGTCCCCCTCTTACAATGCTGTTATTGCTAGTATCACTCAGCCCTCTGTGAATAGTAAACAGCCATCAGTGTGCTAATGATCCATTGTTAGGCTGATTGTCCTTCTTGACCATGTGATCAGCTGGTTTTGGTTGTCAGCAGCAAACTGGTTGATCCACTCTGAGAAGGTGCTATTTAAGAGACTGAGCTGAATACAGCACCTCAGACTGAGGAAGTCTCTCGGATGAGAGACGAAACGTTTCTACATTTTTTTGTTGTTTTGCTTTGTTTTGTTTTTTTGAATGTCCAGAGGACCAGATTTAACTTTTTTAGAAATACAAGGAATGTTTGCCATTTCTAATGCAAAGGTTTGTATCAACCCCCGAAACAATCATTTAATAATTTAGAAACCCTGAAGCATAGTTCAAATAAAAAAAGCTGAAAATTTGCCTATTTTGGCAGCTTTTATGATTGAGGAGGAGTATACACACCAATCTAAATATTGATATTATCAGTACCAACAGTATAAAGATTGGAGCTCTGCACATCTTCAGCTGCAGAATTAAAGTCCAGTAGCTTTAACGTTTTGGATTCATTGTGTACACCAGTATATGATGCCCATGTTGGTGTCAGATCCTATCGGTACTAACACAATGGGGTCGATACTTTAGTTTGTTGCTACGTTCAGTACGTCGCTCCTGTTCCAGAAGCACAATTCTGCACCGTAGAGGCAAGCTAAAATGTAAACATTGGACATAAAAACATGCCAGATAATAATATAATAATAACAATCATTCATACAGTCTCAAGGTTATTTTTGGACAGTATGGGCTTCAATTTAGACAGTCGCCTCAAATGAAACAGGATCATCAACAGGATTTAACAATCATTTTTACACGACTGTTAAGTTTCATGGAAGGGTCCATTTTCACTCCCAGATTAGTGAGTACTTGTTTCTCTAATGGAGTTACAGAGGAAAGGTCGATACTGTGGTTCTTGATTGTGCCATTAGGAGGAAACGAGATAACTTCAGACTTCTTCTCATTGAAACTTAAGAAATTTAAAGCCATCCAGTTCCTGATGTCAGCCAGGCAGTCAAGAAGAGGTAGAACAAAACATGCACCAGTGTGCTTCAGAGGGAAGTAAATTTGACAGTCATCAGTGTAGAAATGAAAGGGCATGTTATGTTTCCGGAAAATAGCACCTAGTGGCAGCAGGTATAAAGAAAAGAGAAGAGGACCGAGGATGGACCCTTGCGGTATCCCCCACTGAAGAGGTGCAGATGATGAACTAAAATCCTTAGTGTTGACACATTATTATTATTATTATTATTATTATTATTAATATTATTATTATTTGAACCTGACTGCTGAGGACGTCCAGAGCTCTTTGCTGCTCCTCCATCACGTCCCTCATCAGCTTCCTGGTGCTGCGTCCAAACGCCAGCAGAGACTGCTGCAGCTGTCCTGAACACACACACACACCCTGAGTAACACACAGTGACTCTGGTGCTGGTGGAAACAGACTGAATCTTCACCGCAGATCGAGTGTTTCTCATCTCGTAGCAGCTTAGCTGTGATGTCACATGGGATGAAGCAGGTGTCCTGACCCTTGACCCCCCCGGGAGGCTTCTGATCTTTGGCAGGAGGATCAGAGAGTTCCTCATTGGCAGTTTCTGATTGGTTCAAATGGTTTCCTGGGATCTAGAGATAAACGTAAAACGGTGGTGAACGTTTGTCATGAAACAATGCTGTGACTGAACGTAAAATTGTTCCTAATCAAGAACCACAAAGACACACGAGAGTTCAGACATTATTTATTTAAAACATTTAGGAGACATTGTTTTTTTTTTTTTCAGATTGTGGATTTTAAAAGACAATCATACAAATATACTGTATTGTTCAAGCTTCTGGTTAACCTGATGAACACAACAGAAGAATTGTTGACCCAGACTTTAAATGTCTGATCTGTGTCTTTTTTTATTGACAGACAACTGAAAACATGTTAAACTCACACATTCCTTAAAACCTTATGCCATAATTCAGTTGATAAACATAAGTCAGTTGATTTTTTTTGAAAACATGCAAATTGAACATACTGCAGAGGAAACGAGAAGAGAAAATTGTAGGAGGGTCGCTGTTGTCCACATCATCTCAGTCAGACTCTGGTGATTTCCTCCCAGAGCGAGGAACAGAACCTGGTCCAGCAGCAGACTCTCCCCCCGTCATTGATGCTTATCCTTCCATCCACTGCTTGTGCTCCACAACCTCTTTCCTTTTCACCTTCTCCTGACACGTAAAGGTGGGAGTGACCGATTTATGTTACTCCTACTTTTCTTCCCATGACAGCATATTCACTAGAGGTTCAAATTGTTGAAAAGCCTGAATATGTTCCCCACAAGGAGCTGAATGTGCAGATTCTACGTTTGTGGTAGAGTCATTACCCTCCTCCCTAATGCGTTGAGACGCAGACATAGTTGTTTTAAAGGTTATATCCTGCAGCCAGCATGAGAAACAGATGTGGGCAGAAAAAATGTGCAGCTGGTTTTACTGAACACTCTGTCTCTGCTTACGTCCACTGTGTAGGAGCTGCAGCTGCAGGGTCCACTAAAAGCAGGGTGTCTCCAAAACACTGACTGGTGTCTGTAAACTGCCTCCAAGAGGGTCTGACCAATGAGTGGAGGTAACTGGGCATTGAATGGGTGAAAAAAGTGAAAAGGAGCAGAAACACATCCCACTCTGAGTTCAGCTGGTGATGGGTGCAGCCTGTCACTTGATTGGAAAATGTTGTCGTAGGAGCCGAGGAAAAGTTTGTGTGCCGATCCCTACCTGTGTGGATTTACAAGCCTGGTCAGTGAGAGGAATGTGAACAGCCTGGTGCTGCAGCCTGAGGGCCCCCACATCTGCACAATGTTATGTCCTATTGTAAGGCATGCGTGTCAGAGACGGGAGTTCATCACAATATTCGAACAAGATTATGTGGTTCATTATGTACTCAGTCAAAAACTGGTAATGTTGAGGTAAGCTAAAAGCTAATGTAACATTTTATTAATTTTCAAAAATTCAGGCAAAAATTAAAACATATGGCACATTGTGTTATTTTGGGTTTTATCAATACATTCTCTAACTACTGTTTTATGGTGTAAATTGGATAATTTTAACATTTGAATGTGTTTGCACTGAAATGTGAGACTATTGGACAATGTTTATTGCTTGTTCCATTAGTGCACGGTCAGATATTTTACCCTTTAAGTAAAAATTTAAAAAAAAATTCAACTAGAAAGTCTGAATTTTGACTCAAAGAACCGATTGTTCCTGAGCTGACCATGCCATGCTCCAGTACAGTAATTCACTTTTTTCATATTTCAAGTATTGTGATGAAATGGCGCCATCTAGCGATCAGATCTGTACATTACATTTTGTCGTCTAAGTTGCTGCCAAAGAACATGTTGCACTCACACTAATTTAAATTTGGAGCATGTGAATCTAAAAAATAAACAAACAAACAAAACAACAACAAAAAAACAACAAACAGACATTTAGGTGTTAAAATGAACTTTAATTTTTTTTGAAGATGGTGTCGTGAGAAACTTTTGAATCTTTTTATGCCTCTTCACTTTTCTCTTGTATACTCACATCAGAAACAGTGGAAACTGTCAGAATACCACTTCAACAAGATAATAACCTTAGCAACAAAACCAGTTTCACCCCAGACCACACCAGTACCCTGCTGGACCTTTGTCTTTCCACAACTTATTTCAAATATAATAGCTTTTACAGACAGAAGCATGGTTGTGCCATGAGATCTCCAGCGTCATCGAATGTGGCCAATCACTACAGAGAGGAAATGGAACAGAGAGTCCTGGACTCCGTCAAGGGAACAGCCAGAGTCACTGGTTCTGATATGTGGATGATGACTGGGTCAAACTAAAGAAGTGGAGGCGTTCAGCAGACACATCAACTCTGTGGACAACAACATCAAGTTCACCAAAGAGCATAAACTGCCTTTTCTGGACTGTTTGGTGTAAAAAGATGGAAACCTCAACATTGACGTTTACAGAAACCCTATTCACACGGGTCAGAACCTTCTGTGTTACTCTCACCACCCGCTGAACTCCCTGTCATTAGAACTTTACACCACTGGGCTGATGCACAGTCCCACAACAGAAGGAACAGAACCACAAGAAGCTCTCCAAACCAGCAGATATCCTAAATGGACCTTTGCAAAATCAGCAAACAAATCCAAAAAAACATGTTTCAGAACAGAACAGGGACAAGAGCAAACATCATCCCAGATGTTGCTGAAGGATCTGGAAAACTCTGAAGGATTTTTGCCAAATACAACATCTCAATACATTTTAAACCCAACAGGATCCTATCAGACCTCTACTGGAGGAAATAAACAACCTCACCACAGACGCTTGGCTAAACCTCGGAGAGCAGGTCTTCAGGACCTGACTCAACGGCCGAACTACATCTCAGGGACACGGGATGCTCTGCTGAGGACCAACAGGTCCAGATAGGACAAAGAAGGTTTGAGAGGAGGTGAAGGAAAATGTTAGGTCAAACAAGAAAAAAAAACTTTAAGCAGAGGAGGAGGTCTCTGATTTCAATTTTCAAAAACTTACAATGAAGCATTAGGCCTGGTTCCATGTCAGCTCCATTCCAATTCACACCTTCATGCAGGTGACCCAAACATATGTCTGTGAGCCAAGCAGTCAGAGAGCCTATCCTGAGGGGCCAGGGCTTAATGTACATGTAAGTCTACATAACAGAGCCTCGTGTGTTTTAAAAGCTTGGGTCTCCACACTCTAGCTTTCAAAAGAGAAAGCATGGATTGGAACAAGAACGTCTTCTTCAGAATATAAGTTCAGTTATTTTGATTCTACATCTTTGTTTTTTTTATTTAGCTGACAGCTAAATATAGCCTACAGCTAGAAACTAGAAGTAGCAGAATTTTAAGCTAAATGTAGCAAAAGGCTAGCTAAAATCACATGCAGCAAAAGGTCGGTAAAAGCTAAAAGCAGCAAAATGTTAGTTAAAAATAACTAAAAGCTACAGTAGCTATAGCAAATAAATATTTGCTAAAAGCTAAAAGTAGCTAAAGGCTAGCTATATGTAGTCCAAGTCTAGTTAAAAGCCAAAAGTTGCAAATGGGTGGCTAAAAGTAAAATAAAAAAACAAAAATACAATAAAAATACTGAAGAAAAATTGAAAGAGTTTTTTGAGGATTTGAAAAGTTCTCACTGTAACTACTTCTGTGGGGAAAATATTTGAAATATATACACACACACACACACACACACACACACATATATATATATACATA